ACATATAAATGACTTTTTAGAGTACTTAAATTATAATATGATATTTTGAGTAGTGCCCCAAGGGCGAAGGACCTTACGAAAAAAACAGAAGTTAGTGCTATTTATGTACACGGCAAATGGGAGGGTTATCCATTCCACGTCCTACGTCACAATCCACTGACCAAACTACCAATTTGAGACTCGCATAGACTTAGTGATGCCTTATTTCAAACATTCATAAATAATATTGGTCCGATTTATTTAGAACTTTGCCATTCTGTTTCCCTTATTTTCCTGCTTTCATTCAAATCAACTTATTACAAGGGTTGGATTACCCTTTTAACATGAACATTTAAACAAATATTGTAGAAACAATTTAAAAGTGAAATAGAGTACCAGACATTCCACAATGCACAACATGTACATCACGTTCCACCAATAAATAACTACACTTACACATTGAACGTAACTTTAACAAAATATATGTAACTGTGAGTTCACCCACGTATATAGGATAACGAACGACAGCGCCCAAAATATTCATTGCTTCCCCAAGCCCAGACCGCAGGCGCACACAAAGTCTTCCCAAACTTCGGCTTAGTATAGTGACGAAGAAGGGGGTTAGAACGAACTCCACTCACTAGAATAAAACACACCTTTTTCATGTTTACAATAATTGTCATGCAGTTGCTAAGAGAAGAAAATAAACTGTACCTTAGTTTTGATCAAATGCAAGAGTTTTTGAATAAATCCTTACCTCACAAGTACACGTAAATATGAAATTCCAATCGCGTTTCCAATAAGTTCCATACAATAGCAGAATAGTCAGTGCATGTTGTGGTGGGGTAACACAACAGGTGCGATACCAATCGATAAAACGGTACCAGAGCAATTTGCGGCGAGCTGCGTGAGATCAATATTCCTGCGTTCCGCGAGCTTTCTAAAAAAAATCCTTATGCACCCCGTTCACTTTCGTTGTATAGCGCCAGCTTGCGAGCCCGGGTCAAAATAAAGTTTCAAAGCCAGTTTACGGTTGCAGTCTGAGCATGAACAGATAAAGGTCATTTTTACCAAAAAGGTAAAACCCACAGAGATGAATACTGGATATGCGCTCATGTAAGTTATGTAACATTATTCAATTATGCACCAACGCCAACGGTACATTCTAAGATACGCAGGTGGAAGTATTCTTTTCAAGAGGGCAAACAAAAGGTATTCATGAAGCACATCTAGGACTTTGGCAGTTATTATTCTAAGATGCTCAAAGTGAAACTTATCCATGTGTAAAAGATCTGTGGATATACGGGTCATTTGTACCATGTGCTATCTGTAAACTCCCTTATAGGCCATTTTTGTGATGCCTTGTTACAAAGTGTTTCATTTATCTGTTATGAATAATTATATTTCAATATTAAGAATCCAAATAGCATACATTGGGTGCTCTTAGGTAGGAAAAGCCGTACTCTATGTCCTGCGTGGCAACAACTTATTCGCATTTTCTGACTATAATACGTATTATAATCATTTGTAACATGATAATTATGTGACATTTGTGCATTAGAATGTGATTGCATTAGAAAATAGCTATCAAAAGTTACTCTATCTATGGTCTTTTGGAACAGGGGCGGCGAAGCATCTTTGAATGTGTGGAGGCACTAACAAAAAAGGGCACTTTCTGGAATAAAGGGGCACTTACAAAGCCAAAGGGAAACCTCAAAGTGAAAATATACAATTTGTAGACATTGGTAGTCCTAGTTATACCCCTACTGTACATTGTAATTAGATTATCAGGGATGATTTCATTGGTTGAAGCAGTGGCGGATCCAGCCGGCGGGAAGAGGGGGGCCCAATCCGTGAGAAAATATTTAGTCGTGACTCAGCCACCGGTGAATAAGCGGGGGGGGGGGGGGGGGGGGGGAGGGGGGGGGGGGGTAAGAGGCACTTTTTTGTTGGTCCAATTTTTCAGGAGATATTTTGCGCCGACTCAGCCAGCCTGTGAATAAGCGGGAGGGGGGGGGGGGGGGTAAGAGCACTATTTTTATTTTCTGGCCTAATTCGTGAGAACATTCTTTACAAAAATTCTTTTTTGTTGTTGTTGCCCCGTCAGCCCCCCCCCCCCCCCCCCCCCCCCCCCCAGTGGATCCTCGCCTACGGCGGATCCAGCCGGCTACAAGGGGGTGGGGAACCGCTTTTGTTTTTTGTTAAATAAAGGTTAACTTTACGTTATTATCCAATTTTGTTACCGTTTTGGGGGGCTGGGGGGGGGGGGCTGGGCCGGAAAAATCGCTACGTGGATCCGCCCCTGGGTTGAAGAAAAAAAATTGTATTAAATTAAATGAGAGCGAGGGACTTAAAACTGTCAAAATAAAAGGGGCACCTCAGATTTGGAAAGAGGCAATTAAAGAGGTGAAGGCCGGGCACTAATCAAAGGTGGTATAAGGGGCATTTCTTGTACCTCAGGAGCACTCACCTGAGATGAATAGGGGCACTTGTGAGAATGGAAAGAGCCACTTACTCAAACTAAAATGGACATTTGTCGAAACAAAAGGGGCACCTATGACCAGGCACGTAGCCAGAGATTAATGTTGTTTTTTTTTTTGGGGGGGGGGTCACATACATGTAATCGATCGAGGTTAAAAAAAAGGGGTCTAAAAAAGTTCAACCGATCTTGGAAATGTTTGGGGGGCACGTGCCCCCCGTGCCCCCCCCCCACCCCGTGTCTACGTGCCTGCCTATGAGACTTTGATAGAGGCATATATCAAACGTGTGGAAAAGGGCATTTATGAGAAAGGAAATCGGCTCTTATTATAAAAATAAAGGGCACTTGTTAACGTAAAATGGGCATCTCAGTCAGATAGAAGCAATTATTATCAGTGAAGGGGGCACTTATCAAAGCCTGGTATATAAGAATATATAACGGGCACCTATTATGAATAAAAGGGGAACTTATCTGAAGTCAAAGGGGCACCTTTCCTATGTAAAAGGGGTACTTAATTTGAGGGTTCTTGAAAAAGTGGGTGGGGGCATCGGGCCCCACCCCCGGCTTCGCCTACTCTGTCCAGGAGACAAAATAATTTGGTTATACAAGCCCTTGTTGACGATAGTGATGGTGGGGGTTGCGGTGGTGGTGGTGGTGGTGGTGGACTGGTGGTGGTGGTAGCGGGGAATATGATGATGATGTGATGATGACGACGAGGAGAAGAATGAGGAGGGAATGGAGCTGCATGGCTGAATCGGATAAATGATGATGACGATGATGATGGCGATGATGATATATTGAAGATGATATCTATGACGATGGTGGTGCTGCTGATGATGATGAAAATGACGTTGCTGATGGTCATGTTGATGGTGATGTTCATGATGATGATGGTGATATGCAGATGGTAATTATATAATTGGTGGTAATGATAATGATCGCTCATCATCATTGTGCCTGTTTGTTAAGCCATTTGACCACATTAACGATATATTATATCAATTAACGTTGTGGTCGTTTTGCTTATTGATTTGTTATTTATTAATTAATTATGTCTAAACAAGAGAACATATGCAGCAACATTTTTTATTCTTCCATTTCTCTCTTTCCTTGCTTTATTTTCTGTTGTCTTAAATATATATTTTGTTAATGATTATTTTTTATGATCTGTCAGTCGTCATTGTCTCTTTTGACCTTTCCAGCGCTCATTATACATTATCGTAACAAGTTTTCAAATTAAGGATTTATAGATGAATTATTATTCTGCCACTTTTTGGTAATCTATGTATGTATCTTTTTTTTAAAGTCGATATATTTACATGTTACAAAAATTATGTTTGTCATTATTTTGAGGGATCCACTTGTTACAAGTTTGTTTTCAATTCAATTCAATTCAATTCATTTATTTTTCCTCTTTCAATCGTTCATATTTACAATTATGATACATTTTAACATAATTGTATTCACATATTTATATACATATAGATCAATTTGCACAATACAATACATAAACATGAAATTGAAAGGGAAGGAGGGCCGACTAAAAAGCAGAGCTTGTAGGGTGTAAGCCCCCCTGTAAAAGTAATTATTATAAATTATTATTTTATGAGAAGAAAACAAAAAACAATAACAATAACTGATTCAGTAATACAAAAAATCACTTTTAAACGCAAAACATTGATAAATACATACATGTAAGTTGCATAAAGTCACACTACAAATTATATTTGATTGGGGAATGCAATGATTTTGCTTTTCAGTGGATCCCTCCATTTCCACAGGTTTATCTTTAATTTTTTTTTAAACCCATTTACTAGATATTTATGTATACTTTCTATTTCACAACAATTTCATATAAAATGTATTATATTATTGAATGTTGAATTGTATATCTGATTTCTTGTCAAAAATGACTGTTCTGTTGGAAATGAAAAAATAAAAACTGAAACTGAAACTGAAGTGAATATAAAGTCCCAGACTCCCAGTATTAATATTGTCACGTGCATGAGACAGCGATTTCTACTTATATTCTATTGAAGAATTTATACATGCAAATGCCCGAAATTAATGTGTGCACAATAATAAAGTGTGAAACGAACAACTTTTCTTTCCCCTCCTCGCGTGATTATTTCCATACCCAAATCTATGCAGCACAGCCCCCCCCCCCGCCCCCCCCCCCCCGCCCCCCCCCCCCCCCCGGTACTTGTGCGGTAGACCGTGGCATGACGCCTGGGTCTATATTTAGAAACACCAGCGCAGCTGAGTGTGTACGAAATGTAGGGCTGGGGATGTCCACATATTGTGACGCAATTTTGTCACAAGTGTGAGTATCCTTCCGCTCTAAAAATTTCTTGTCAAAATCATTATATCGTCGTTATGATTTACGAGTATATTACAATCCTTATTTTTCTTTAAAATGGTATAAATCTTGCATTTGTATAGAGAAGAGTGATTTTACTTTACAAATGTATGAAATTGTTGGGCCTATGTTTTTACCCTGCGCCTATTTATATTAAATGGTAATTGGGCTCGCCTTTTTTTGTCAACAAAAGCAAATCTACAGTTAGACGTGCGACGAATGTGAATTTACTGTACAAAACCGATTAACACTCATTTTTCCACATTTTCTGTAAGTTTTCTCTTGAAAATGAAGTGGTTATACAAAGAAGAACATCCCTTCGAAAAGAGGAGACAAGAAGGAGAGAAGATTAGGAAGAAGTACCCCGATAGAGTACCGGTAAGAAAAGAAACGACTAACATTGACAAATCACATTCACATTGCATTGTCATTGCCATTTCATGCATTAGAATTGGCAATGGCGCCTGGTGAGCTGAGGTAATATTAATAATACATGTCATGCTTTATCAGTGTGTCTGCATATTGTGTTGTGTGTAGTCAATCTATAATAAAGCGTTCAACTAGAGTCTAAATGATTTTTATTTTATTTTTTATAGAATGTTTAGCCCCACTCTGAAAATCTTAACATGGTGTTTTTGAGGAAAACAATCACAAGTCCACAATAATCAATATTTCTGCACAGTAACAAATCAGTGTTTATTCGAATAGTTCCTGCTTAACTTGACCAATCATTTGTTGTCGGAAGATATTTATGATCAGTGTAATATTACTTTTGTATTCAATGTTTTGATCGTGATAGGATTAATAATGATGTGAGTTGAATACCCTATAAAATTAAAACTGACAATCTTGACAATATCGTTATAAACTCCAGGATCAGGAAGCTCCGATGCCCAAGTCGTTGGAGCTCCAGAGCCAGCTCATGAAAACGATTCAAACAGCGGGTTGGGTCAAATTTTTTGCAATGTAAAGAGTTAGTAATTACAATTTTGACTTGCCATGTTTTCCGACTCCTCTGGGCATACGTCCAGCCACTTGAAATTATAACTTGACGAAGTCTTGGAAAAAGGGTGATTCCTCGTCCTAACCCGACGATTCTTACACGTTGATCGTTGATTTAACATGGCAAGGAGAAATTACGTATTCGCAGTAGCGGTGCAACAAATATGAATATTCATATTATAGAGCACCATTCACTCGAAATTGCTGAATATGCATGAATCAAAGAGACCGAGCCCTTCTCAACCTCCTTGCATATTCAGTAATTTTGAGCTAATAGTAATAGCGCTCTGTATCATGAATATTCATATTTTTCTCCGCCGCTTGTTATTTTTTTCGCCAATGCCAACTGCCAAGTCCAGCATGTCTCTGCCCGACAGTGGATGAAACAGTCAACCATCTGATAGGGGCATGTCCCCTATATAAAAGCAAAAGAGAAGACTCCATCAAGAACCTACCAACTTGTATTCACCACCAATTGCAATCAGTTCCTCCCCATCTCTCATGGCTGACGTCAACACAAATCTCATCCTCCTTTGGGTCAACGATAACCCACCAATTACTGCCCAGGCCCTGGATTACCATGTTGCATTCCTAACGTTAATCCTGGAAATGCACTGTAAATGATCTTCTGTAAACAAAGCAGCTCCTGCATGAGCTGTCATTACCACATCTTGCGATCTTTTACCCCTATTATATAGTCTGCGTACTGGTTTTCTTCATTGAATCACTCTGCGAAGAATACAACTCCGCAGTTTTCCAAACCGGGAGAAAATCAACTCGAAGAAGAAGATAATTTGAAATTGCAATTGAGAAATTATTCTAGGGCTATAAGCGCATATAGGGTCCATGGTTGACATTACAAACTGGATTGAAAATTATTGTCATGCAATAGTCACCATAGCCTTCCGATATAAGCATGTTATATTCTGTCATTTGCATTAAGAAAAATGATTGTCTTTCGTGTTAGCATGTTTTATCAGAGTGTATACTTTGAACATTGTACCTGAAGAAAGAAGGTCACCTACAGTATATGCTGTTTTTTCATTTGTTTTTGCTTCTGACAGGTAATTGTAGAAAAGGCAGCCAAAGCAAGAATAGGAGACCTTGACAAAAAGAAGTACCTTGTACCCTCAGATTTAACAGGTAATTGGGAATAATTTGCATTCAATTCAATTCAATTTCCAACAGAGGTATATTATTACATGAAATATGAAGAAAAAAATGTATGTGCATAATTCATTTTTTCTTGGTTACATGTAACTATACAAATACACTTTGAACATAAGGGCCATGTAAGATAATAACATGAATCACAACATCAAATGAGTATGATAATGATGATTGATGATGTCCATCTGTTTCGCATTGAATTTTCTTTTTTTAATATCCAAAATGTAACAACTTTTATTATCGATGTGTTCCCTTGTTTATTACGTATACTAAATCCTGACAAAATTATTGTAGGTCGTCAATAATCACAGGGGTTGTCTCTCCCCAAGCATAACAACCATGTTTTTTGAAATACCAAGTGTGAAGGATATACAGTAATTCTGGGAAGGGGGGGGGGGGCAAATTCTCCCCACCAAGAGTACCAAAGGAGTAATAGGTTGAATCCTCTGTTCCTCCTGCCTCCACGTAGAAAATACAAACCCACATAAACATCAATGGAGTGCAAAATACTATCTAATCATCGCATTATGTTGTGGGTTTTTTCTTCTTAAATGATGATTGAATGGTTTAGAATTGATGTATTCCATATGTATTTTCGAATGGAGTTAGAGTAAAGTTATTATTACTTATTCATAACAATCTTGTCATGTCTTTTTCTACCCATATGGCATTACAATGTACAAAGTGCCTGGGTATGAGGGCTAGTCAAGTATTTTGTGGATTGTGAGGGTATGGCAATGCAATATTGTGGATACTGAGCCACTTTTGAGTACCATTTCTACAACGTGTCTACAATATGGTAATAATTAGTTGTGCCCAGTTCTTTGAACATGAACAAAAATATATAATTTTTGACATTTTTTGATGATTTTTTGTACATTGCAGTGGGCCAGTTCTACTTCCTGATCAGGAAAAGAATTCAGCTGAGGCCTGAGGATGCTCTCTTCTTCTTTGTCAACAATGTCATTCCTCCGACCAGCGCCACGATGGGACAACTCTACCAGGTGGGAAACTAATCTCAAAATAAGAGTAGTGCTGGTGTCAAATTAAGTTTCCTTTTTCGACCATTCAGGGATCTGTTTCACAAAGCCTTTTCTCAATGACAAATGGCAAAATTCAGTGACTAATCTGCTGATAACCAATCAGAAGCAAGGATTTCACTAGCTTATAACAAAAACTGTCAATCTGTCACTGATGACAAGTTTTGTGAAATGGGACCCAGGTCAAGTTTATGACCGATGTTGACTATTCATATTGTGACATGATCAGGGATTGTCATGTGCAATGATAAGTTACTGCCGCTGCACTACTGAAGCAACATTCAGCAATGAAATGAAGCATAGAGATAATCTAGAAATGCTGAAATAACGAAAAGGGGTATTGCAAAAATACAAAATATGTTATTATGGAATACTAAAAATCATCAACTTTATTCCAATTTGATATTAAATATTGAATCCACTGTTATATTATCATAATTATGTCACCGATATGAGAATATTTAATGATATGTCATCTTCCTATGAAAATTGTGTTTTGTTTACAAGATTATCAAATGTTTGTTGACAATATCACTAAAACAGTATGATACAAAGTTTCTGTTTCCACTAGCCAAAACTAATTGTACATGTAGATATGCTTGTTAACCTACTAACTTTACATGTACTCTCCTTCCCTCCCTCCCCCCCCCCCCCCCCCCCCCCCCCTCCCCCTCTCATCCCTTATGTTTGAAATAAGAACATTTATCCGCTTACAGTCTACATATGCAAATTACAAATAAGGGATCGGACTTGATTTACAAGCATTGTGTTGATTTTTAGTTTCCTTAATTTGGGGAATATTTTGATGATAAATTCATTGTCAACTTGCCAAATGGGGCAAATGATACACAAATCAATTTGCCACTCTGACATTTGTGATTGCCTTCATACAATTGTTGAATATATTTTGTAAATGTTGTCGTAAGAGTTTAATTAATTGATTTGTTTTCTTCTTGCTATTTGTTCATTTATCTTGATGCAGGATCATCACGAAGAGGACTTCTTCCTGTACATAGCATACAGCGATGAAAGTGTGTATGGAGCTTAAGATACATGTGCTGACTAACAATGGAGCCCCCAAGGCTGGCTGCTCAAGTGCTCATTATTGATATATGAACTCTATCTGCCCTATGAAATAAAGGGAGAATAAAAAAACATAAAATGAAAAAGCTCTGAAAGTATAAAGAAAAAACAACCAAAAACAAACAAACCATGTATGTAAATGTATAATTTAAAGGGTAAGCACTAGATAGAATTGCACCCACTTTGTATAACCCCCTTCATTGTTTAATTTCATAAGGCCATGCGAGACATGTATTGGTCTTGTTTTGTCTTGTGTGAATTTAATTGGGACTTTTATTGAGTGTATAATGTATATAGGAATGCAATAGATGCATTGATATGTTTTAAAATTTATATTAAGCAGTTTTAGACATGTTTATTCTGGGTAAATACAACACACAAAATCGTACTTTTGTCCGTGTTATTTCATTTTAATTTGTTTGCACTTTCTGTACATGTACTTTCATGTATCATGGTGCATGCATGCATCAAATTTAGGAGCTGTATTGGCAAAAGCATAAATCGTGAGCGAAGAATGCACCAAACTTTGAACCAAACGAATCTGCAGCCATTAATGGCTCGATGGTTGTCCATGTGAAAGCAAATGTGGTATGTGTAGACTTTCCACACATTTTTTTTATTTATCCAATTGCCTTGTGTCCAAAGTGGCGGAATCACAAATTTGTGACATAAGTAGCTTGTTCACATTTGTGAGTCAGAATATAAAATGCAATATGTAAAGTGTTTGTAATTACCCCCTTATCATACACTTTCCCCCAAAAAGAAATTCCCGCCATTTTGTATTTTTGCATGAAATATGTAGTCTAGAAAAAACGTTTTATTTGAATTTAACAGAAATTCAATTTTTTTATTTTGCCATTTTTTTATAAGTTGAAAATAGCATGATTGTTGGAAGAGAAACTTAAAAGGTGAGCATTAGGATGTTCAGATGATATTACATAGATATTATTTTTTGCATCTATTTAAGGGGTTTTTCTTCAAATTTTTAATGGGTTTGAATTTAGCTTGTTGAGATAAATATTTTGTGCTGCAACTTAATATTATGTTTTGATTCTGGCCTTTTCTATGAATCTCCATTTGTTCATTTTCACCTCTCTTATTTTTTGGCCCTCTTTTTATTTCTACACTTTTAGTAGGCACCTCTTTTAATTTTTGTTTTCTTTCTTTTAACATTTCATGGTCTGTGAAAGGCTTAACCAAATTAACCCATGGAACCCCTTATTTTCATTGATGGTCTTATAAATCCATTTATTCAACATATATAGTCAATCAATTTGATGTATTCTTAGCAGTTTTCACTTTCATCTCTTAAAAAAATATATATCTACATGTACTTGAATAATACATGTTTGAATGCATGCCAAATCACATTCATCACGTACATCACGTACATGTGAACAACTTACAGATCTTGAAAATAAACCATTAGTGGTAATTGTAATAAAAACGTAATGTGAATCAGTATTCCAGCTTTTCTTGTGCAAAAATACCATGTTTATAGCCCAGTCTGACAACTAAAAGGAGTCCTTGTGATAAACGACAAGACTTGTCGAAAATTTGCCAGCATCGCTCTTACATTCTCAATTTAGTAATCAAACAAGGGTTACAGTCTTGGTTTCTACTGAAATAAAAGTTTAAGAATCATAACAATAGGATTGATTATCTACATGTAACATTATTGCTGTCACTTCAACAAAATGTTTGAATGTGTATTTCCTTATAGGCTAGCTTTAATTAACATTCAGTTAAAGAAAAAGAAGTGTTTGTTCTATCAGTGGAGAACTTCCTGTATGATTCAGCCAGCTTGCTGCCTGAGAGATGGAAGGGCGCAACTCACACCCTGAAACGTGGACTTGGCGCCCTTCTTGCTCTCGGCAAACGATTGCCAAAGGTTCAGTTGGGGAGTAACCTTGGTAGCTTTTCACGAGACCATCATGCGTACAAGTTCGCAGACAACTCGTTGAAATGCGTGTATGTGATATAACACATATTTCAGTGGGATGTCTGTGAACTTGTACTAACGATGATTTTGTGAAACGATGCCATGACGTGTATTCACTCACACATCCTGTGACGATTTTACAGAACCTTTGTAGCTAATGAGTACATGCAGTGCATTCAGTCAAAACCAAACGTAAAAATTTCTATAAAAGAGTCATAACCCAACATAGTCTTCTAGCGAAATCGTCGAGCAGTGCATTTTGTGTGCATCTCCCATGTAATGTGTAAATGAATATGGTAAAAGCATGTACATAAATACATGTCCTCCTAAACCGCTTAACAAATTATGCTCTGAAATGTAAAAGCAAAATAATATTCTATAGCTTACATGAATCTGTTCATGCGACTTATAGAAATAAAGAGTCACATATATATAAGCAACTCCTCATGACCATTCGTACATGTAGTTGTCATTATTGTTGTTATGTTCATATATGTATCTTCACAATATTATATTATTGTTTTAATTCATATTAGTTTTTTATGCAATGCAGCAACTTGTAAATTATTAATGTGAGATGGGAATCTAAGACAAAAAAAAGATATGTTAAAGTAGTGTATATCTTGCTGTTAAATAAAAAATTACATACAAATGATGTAAAAAATCTTGTTTGAAAGAATTGTTTTCTTGGGTCATGACTCCTGTACATTTTACATAATTCTGCCAAGTATTTCACACGTGTACATGTAGCTTATTTCAATAACAGGATATAAAGAAAGAGGTAGACCCCTTCAACACAAATAATTCAATTTATATGCATGATTTATGTAGTTGATTCTACTCGAAACACCAACGCCCCCTACCTACTAGCTGCCAACTGAAGATGGCATGCAAGTTTGTTGATAATGCTATCTTTAGCGGCTTGCAACACAAGGTTGAACAAGGTTAGGGAATATACAAATTCTGGACTAATCCATGCCCATACTCTACCACAATGAACAAATAATGTTTGTTTTTCTAATTCTCCCTCTCGCCTCTCTCTCTCGTACTCCATCTCTTCACCAACTCTCTATCTCTCTCTCCCTCTGTATACTACCTCATGTCTTGTGCATGTACATCCACATACCCGGTATACCCCCTCCCTCTCTTCTTTCCTCCCCTGTCTTTCTATCTTACTCTCCCTTCTCCTTACACCTCTCTCTCCCTCTCTCTTTTGGTATATATATATATATATATATATATATATATATATATATATATATATATATATATATATATATATATATATCTCTTTCTTTCTTATCTGTCTCCCTCATTTGATTATGGTATATCTCACAATTCATTTGTACCGGGTAATCCTGAACTGAACAGGCGTTAGTATGTATGCTGAGTAGTAGAAGCAGTTGTAAGAGAGAGAGAGAGAGAGAGAGAGAGAGAGAGAGAGAGATGGAGTACAATTCAAACTTGCTGATAAAAAAATAATTACACAAATTACAGGACTGAAAATTATCATTTTGAACAACAAATTAAATACTTTTAATGAATTTACATTTTGTCTAAAAATACATTGTATCTGAAGCCTAATAATATCAGGGGTCTCTTTCATGAAACATAAAACATAAGTGAGTCTCATAAGCAAAAAAAAATGTCTATATAGCAAGGATTTTCATGGCTAACAGACCATATCATACTGTTGTAAATGACGTTTGTATAATCGTAGGATAGACAAAATTTCTGTACATACTTGTACACTATTATGTACCAGTAAAAAATTTCTTGGAATTGTAAATTGATATCTTGCAAAGCTCAGTTCAAATTACACCAGTACACTAGGACAAGGAAATAAACGAGATTACAATTACAAACGAGTTCCAATGTTGAATGAAATCCTACACTTGAACGACTGAAGAAGTACATACTGGTAATAATAACAGGAAACTATTAAATATATTCTACTGCTCTTAACGCAAATCATCATATCCTTACCCCGGCTTTAGCTATGACTCAATAATGAAGGTGCTTAAGCATTCAAGGAATTCCTTGCTACCGGGTACCCATTTTCTTCACCTGGGTGGAGAGTGGTGGAGAATGTCTTGCCACTGCAATAGACATAACACTGGCATAACTCAAACTGCTAACCATGTGATCCAAAGTTAAGTGACATATCCACTAGACCACTACACCTCTATACGTATAAATGTCTTTCATTGAGTCTTCCAATAGGTCTTTTCTTCTTTAGTTTCCAGTTAAATGTTCTTTTAGTGTCTCTGGTGTCTAAAACCATCGTTATGTGGAAAATTTCATACAAATTTAAAAGTTACATGATTCATTATGAAACAAACATATCCTTTCCAAAAAATTTCTACTCCACAGAGATGAGAACATTTCTCATTTTGAAAAAATCTTTACAAAAAATCTTTACAAAATAATAATTCATATTACAAGTTTACAAAAAATGCTTTTGAGATTAATTGTATGAGAAGGCTTCTGCATATCCACTACTATTTGCATACATCCAACAAGAAAGTGAGAGAGATAACTAGAGTTATATAGGGGAACATAATCATCTCATTACAATTGTGAAAAGAAGACAGTTACAGTGGTTTGAGCATGTAACTAGATGGAAGAATATCTTGGCAAACACCATCTTGCAAGGAGGAACTGATGGGAGAAGTAATTGGGGGGGGGGGGGGGGCACTCCAACTAGGACATGGACTGATAAAATCAAGCAGTCGATGTGAACGTCATTTGAGCAGCTAACTAGAACAGCTGAAGAAAGGAACTTATGTAGAACCTGTGCATCAAGGTCCATTTCATTGTCACCCCAACAGCCTTCAAGCTATGGGACATATATATATATATACATGTATATAGATAGAAGTTTACAAACATGCAGCATTGTGTGTTTTTCAATGACTTACTGTACATGCACCTCTCGAACAATAAATCTGGGAGGATTGGTTGGCCATTGCAAAACATTTCTCCTTCTCTGACCGTGCCTACTGCTGCATAACCGCCCTAATAACCAGAAACATTTGCATGCATAAAGAATATTCATAAGTGGTAGAGTTTGATGGAATATATATGCTGCAAAAAGTAGCTGGGGTACGCCATTTCATTTCATTTTATGCAATACCCTGAAAGTTCCTTGACATGAAAAATAACCTGTTAACAATGATATCAATGAGGAAATGCTTCAGGTAGCAAAGGTTTTCTGGTGTTACAAAAATCACATTTTGTTCATATATTGTCAAGTTCCACAAATTATGATAAATGTAAACTTCTGAATAGATTGCCAAGTTCACATTTATTGATGAAATATATACACAGCACAGATTCATAGCCCATTACACCAAAATGGCAAAACTGAATGTCATAAAATATTCTAACAGCATGAGAATAAACCATATTCTTTGAGAAAAACAATGAAAAAAAAATCACATGCAACATTTACATTCAAATAAAATCCCAAAACAAAAAATACTCCATATCAAATGTGCACGTAGAGGGAATATATTACACTATGTTCCATTTCTCCAAGCACTTGGAATTGGCCTAAACGTTCTCTCAAGAAAAAAAATTCCAAGCTTGACCTACAAATTTCTGATGTTTCATCCTTTGATCATGGATCATGATCATGTTTCACAAAGATCCTAAGTCAAACTTAATTCATAGTTGGATATAAAATATTATGGAGAACCACTTGTTATAGCCTTAGAATAAAATATATTAAAAAGCATCAATTCCACATCAAGAACATGTAATCTCCTTGATAATAGAAAATATGAATGATTTGAATTGGTGCGGTAACATCACGGATATCTCCAATTCCGTTTAACCGCCAGTCAAAACCGTACAGTTTTCGGTTAAACAATTTTTTTTTTTTTTTTTTTGGGGGGGGGGGCCTACTCTGTCGGCAGCAAGCCAGGTCCATTTGAAAAAGCGGGAAGGACTTTCATTTAACTGCGTGGTGCAGTTAAAGGCATCGATTTGTGCTTGTGAACTAGTCACAAAAAATAGTAACAATGTCGTTTTTAGAAGAATGTGTAAGATCATTAATGTAAATTGAAAACAGAGGACCTAGGATAGAACCTTGTGGAACACCATGTGTAAAAATTGGATGAATTATTATTATAAACTACATATTGAGATCCATTAAAAAGATTACTTTCAAACCAAGATGACAGACAAATTGGAGTGTTGTTCTAGTTTCCGAGTGGTGAGTCATCACACCGATTACTGAGCTGGGAGACATTGCCAGGCATAGTGCCAGGTGGAGGGACATAAATCGAAACTTAAAAAAAACAACCAAAAAAAACAGGAAAACGAAACCGGTCCAATTGAAAACGGAATCCGCCATGGGCGGTCGAATACCGGACGGTTAAACGTTTGACTACAGCACTAATTTGAATCAACATTTTATGCCTTTTAAAATAACTTTTACAAAATATTTTCAAAGATGCTAACGGCTTTCCATGATTGACAAGTCCAACTTAGATTAAGTTCGACTTGGGAACTTTGTGAAACACCCCCCGAGCAGCCAACTCACTACTCATGAAGCAGGATCCTTACCAGTGCATTACGCACCGGGGCCCCGTTTCATAAAACAAATTATCAATAAGAAATGCTAAATTTCTATGACATATTTGCTCTCAGCCAATCAGATGCCATGATTTCAGTAGCTTATAACAGTAGCTTGTAACTTGTTATTGATATCAAGTTTCATGAAACAGGGTCCTGGTGGTTCTAACAAGGATAAGGGCTTTCAGAAGGAAAATAAATAAAGGGGCGAACTGCTCCTCATCGAGGATACCTTCCAAGGGTAATATACAAATAATACACAGCAGTGAGGGCATTTTATAAGATTATGTTTTGTTTGTTTTGTAACATGATTTAACTAATGACCGGTCATTAGCATTTGATAATGACCGGTCATTTTCAAAATTACGTGTTAGGCAAAATAAATGCCTGGTCACATATACGCTCTCAACTGATCATTTGATTAGGATCTACGTCATCATCTTATAATGACTAGTGTGACTACTAACAATAATATGACTACCTCGTATAGCGCATATCACATTATGATACATGTATAACATATCTATGCTCTTCCGAAGGACTTTGGATATTATTACCCTTGCTTCAGCTCCAGCAACCGTAGTGCTCAGTGCATTCAAGGAATGAATCCTACCAGGTACCAAGCTGCTACACCTGGGTGGAGAGTGGCAAATCTAGATTCATGTCTTGCCAAATAGTCATAGGTATATGTAAAGTCTTGCTTCCAACTGCCCTAAAAAGCTTTGAATTTCCCAAAGCATTCTCTTTCTCTCTCTGAGATGCTGCAAGTCTGTTTACTCGATCAAGCCTAAAGGTATATACAGGTATGTGCCGAGAATCACATCTTGGAGCACGGCCGTTATGAATGTTCTGCATAGTCTTTCACATATACCCATGTATGTACATGCACGAGGTTCATGACCCTGTGGGCCATTATGTGAAGTAATAGGGTTTCTTGACGTTGATCCCATGGTCTGTCAACGCAGGGCTGAGGTCTTCCATGGTGAGAGTGTAGCGCTTGTCCTTCAAAGAGGGAAGGAATAAAGAAACAAGAGAAACAAGGCAAGGCATTAATTTTTAGCTCATACTTTATACAGGACTTATTAAAACAACAGATTCTTTGTACAGTTTACAACTGCTTTCTTCATACCCTTTGTAAATTTTAGGTTTTGAGTGGGTTATTTTTGTAAATCAAGAACAAAAGGTGGACTGGTTGAATTAGGGCCATTAGTTGAATACTTTTACATGTTTAAAAACAAAATTAAAATGTCACATTCTCAAAACACATTAGTCTGGTCAAATCAATATTTCTTTTGTTACTTTAAAAATGAATAAACTTGGAAAGGGTATGAATAATTTAGTTGTTTACTCTATAACATTACTCATACTTAGTTGATCAAAAAATTGGTACAGCTAACAGCCTAACACTGACAGGCTGTATATTCATACACTTATCTGTATTACATGTAAGTGCTTAGAGACATTGTTCAGGTATTAAAGCACTATTTAAATAAAGGCCATTATCACTATTTACGGTACTTTTAAAGCTTATCAAACTTAAAAAATGCAATGTGTAAGTTTCCTTTGTCAAATACATTATGGGCTTATAGACTATCTTTCATGAAGTTTCTAACACACACTCTTATGCTGGAAGGTACATTCAGATTCATCAGAACCATATTTTTTTGGTCTTTTTGTTGTTGTAAAATAACCATTTCTGGTCTTCTTTATTTTCTCATAATAATATCAACATCTTCACATTTTCAGCGATTGCCTCCATTTCTGGAGGGATATACATGGTTTTCTACATGAAATATTTTCTTCTATCTGTAAACAATAATTCAAGAGGTGAAACAAAATGTGAAGAAGTCTCTGTTTTGTTCTTTTCTTTTTAAATTCTTTTCCATCAGAAACATCTTGATTTGATGAAATATAAGCCCGTGGGAGCTCACAAGTGACCCTAATCCCGTTTTATAAACTCCTGGGGGGGGGGGGGCATTTCACAAAACTTTTCATCAGTGATAAATGACAGTTTTTGTTATAAGCTACTGAAATCCTTGCTACTGATTGGTTATCAACAGAGTTGTCACTGATTTCTGTCATTTGTCATTGAAAAAAGGCTTTGTGAAACGCCCTCCTGGTGAACTGATCTGCTACAGGAGAATACATACCTTTACTGACTTCTTTGAACTTTGACCCGACCCTCTCATCTTGCAGTGCTGCAGGGCATCGTTGGCAATGTCTGAGATGAACTTCTGGGCTGATATGGAAATCAATCTCACCCTGCAAAAGATATCAATATCAGAATCGTAAGCAATGGCAGATGGAGATTTGAGATGTGGAAAATGAAACATGAAATGGATTCTTGGATAGAGTTATGAAAAGTGAAAAGAAATCCAATACGTCTATAACTGCTACTAATGTGGATACACTTAATGGAAGGGGGAGGGGGAGATTGAAAAACCCAGATTCCATGATTTTGGATCTCTGGGTGGTATGAACACATACCCACTATATATAATTCTGTCTTTTAAGAAATGGACGGACAATCCAACATTAACCAACATATTTCACAAACAGTTGATGCCTTTATAGCTCAACAGACAATTTCCTAATTTAAAAAAAAGAAAAGAAGAAAAAGTGGAGGTGCTCAATATATTTCCCACCATCGATCTCCTTATGACTGATGCTATAACTACCTTTTCTTCTTCATCTACATGTATTACAACAACCACAATGCAATTATGAATGTATCACTCTGTCTTCAGACACACCATACTTTAATTTTTTTCTGTAATTGCTCTGTTGATGACTACTCTGACCTTCTGACATGTTGGTTGCTTTGTTTGTTTGTTTGTTTTACTTGATTGCTAAAAAATTATGTGTGTGCTTGTAATAAGTAAACAACCAGGGGACTGACAGCTTTATGTCCTCTCCGAGGGACTTGGTAATGAGGATTGATGCCATACCACAAGGCACTTGTGTATCGACTTGGTTTCGAACCAGGGACTTGCTCTGAAATTGAGTCATCACGCCTCCGTATAAACATACACATGTATCATAGCAAAGAATAGCAAAGAATATCAATCAAAGGATATTCGATATAGCACCTTTTCCTTGCATTTACAAAGCGCTCCACACTGCTCCTCAGTCTGAGCCACTTATAAACATCATACTTCTGGCAATCTAAAAGCTTCTTTCGGGGAGGGGGGGGGGGAATATTTTGGACTACATGTACTTACAGTCTTGGATCTGATGCCTCAAACCCAGATCTATTCAGATAATATCCTGTCACTGCATCCGGGATCTGCCAAATATACAAAAAGACAAAGATTAACAATTCACTCGATGAAGAAAAAATGGAACTAAAGTAAACACCTAAGCAGGCTAAGCTAAGCAATATTCAGGTTGTTATTTCAATTTCTCTTTTACAAAGTACAACTTATGAATCAATCGTTTAGCTAGTTTTATTACTGGTTGGAGCACCAGAGTACATGCCATACAACCACTGTAACATGTATGTACCTGTATTGGGAATGGGCAGGTTTCAGATGAGGGTGTCATATATGTGTTGTGCATGTATTTCACCTGGGGGGGGGGGGGGGCGTTTCATAAAGCTGTGCGTAAAGTTACACATGACTTTACAAATTAATTGAATATGAAGAGCTAAATGGGATTCTCAAATCCTTTTAATTGCATTTATAAGCTAAAGTTGAAATATGCAGATGTAGATTAACCTCATCAATTTTAACAAAACATTTTAATGCAAAGTGTATTTTTGGCTACAATTCAATTGAGATTATGGGAAATACAGTCATACTTTGTTAAAAATGTCAGGAAAATTTGGGGCATCCCATTTGGCTCTTCATATTTAAATAATTTGTAAATTCATTTGTAACTTTGCACACAGCTTTATGAAACAATCCCCAGGTATCAGTTTCAGAGACATTAGGGACTTTTAGATTGATAGGACGAGAACACGACGAACGCCGACTGATCATGCGTGTCAACGTACTTAATTGCCCATGTTGACTACAATTAGAAATCTTTTAGATTGCACTCGACGATAAAGCATGCAGGAAGTAACACTATGAACATCACGGACAAAGAAAGAGGACAAAATATACAGTTCCTCATTCTACCCTTAACAAAAGAACATCCCTTCACTGCTATTATGTAAAAATGTGTAGAACAGGTGAATATGCATGTGACACCTGTTCTATCGGTACACAATTTTTACATAATAGCAGGGAAGGGATGTTCCTTTGTCTACCTGAGGAACTGTATATTTTAAGCGCACGTGGCATACTAGTACCTTGAGCATGTAAAGGCGCTATATAAATATCAATATGTATGTACTGTATGTACTAGATTTAGGAAAATCAAGGTTTACACATTCTCGATCGTCGACTGAGACGATGTAACGCATGCACAGTGCCTTAAAATGACGTTACACATTGCAGTTAAAGCTGTTGACGTGCAAATCTAAAAGTCCCTAATAATAAAATGAAACTTACAGTAGGTGCATACTCTTCCATCTGTTCAAGGAGTTCTTCTAAGGCATCACCAGCCAGCTTGACAGGGAGAGCCGCTGCTTCATTCTCTGCTTCTGAGCCATTAGGTGTGGCTTGATTCCCTCCACCCTCCGATGAGGCACTGTCCATAGCTTCTGGAATACAACAAATAGATTTGATGATAAAACTCTTATGTTTGAATTGAACCTTTATCATAATTTGTCATTAACTCATTCAATGGAAATCGTTTTGTTGTCTTTGATGTGTTTTAAAAATGGTTGAATAAATATTTGAGATGAAATCTCAAATTGAAACAAGACGCAAGGAAATATTTTACAGGGCTGGAATATAATTACAGCAGTGAATTTGGGCCATATACCAAAATAGGCGATACTTTTTAGCTGGGAATAAAGTTGCTCATTTTAGGTCATCAGCGACCGAAAACACCATGGTTAAAAAACAAACATGATCAAGGCAATACACTTCCAATAAAGGCAAAAAAATTAAATATTACTTAAAGTAAACCAAAACATTTATATCAAGTTACTTTTATTGTAAAGTTTAAAAGATTCAAATAAAATCAGTAAAAATTTGTACAAAATCAGGCGAGGAATGAGGGAGTTAAAACTAATTTAAATAACTTGTCACCAGAGGGCAATGTCTTAATTGATTACATAATGTATCCACGACCCTTCGTGCCTTCTGACCATGATATTTCACAATTCTCTCATTTGTGTTAATAATCCGACTTAAAATGTCAAGTAGAATATTCTGCACAATTTATCTTGTTTTCAGGGGAGTACATAATCTCAATCATAAGAAGGAAGGAAAAACATGAAATTTGAAGTACAAAAGGCATAAATCATGGATAAATTTGCCATTCATATCAATTCATTTTGTAAAATATACAATTGCCATGCAGGGACTGTGCCTGTGGGTATATCCAGGAATTTGTGTATGAAAACAGGGGCAGGTACTAGTATAGGGGAACATATAAACATCCTCCGCTTACTACAATTATTTATATTTTATTTTTACCATAATTTTAGAATTTACCAAGTGACACAAGTCACAACAGATCGAGTTGATTAATCAATCTTCTCATTTATTATATGATTTATAATCTCTTCCTCTAGATTGTCACACTTCTGCTTCTTTATCGTTGTTTCTCATTCTCTCCTTTCAGTCGCATCTCTATTTTTTTTTCCTTTTCTCTCTCTCTTTCTCTTTCCCTCTCTACTGACATGACTGACTCTATTTAAGTCTATCTCCGGTCTACTTCCGTTAACTTTATGAATATGATACTATATTGCTACTACCGCTAGAAAGCTAAAATTTAGTCTGATTTTCACCTCGGTGAGTCCAAATTTTCACAAGTTTTTTCGTGAACTTTGTCATATGATATACTTAATCCATATTGCGCATGATTTGGCAGTCTCAACACTTCATTTTTTTCAAATTTGAAGTGTTTTCTGATTTTTTTTTAAAGTTTGTTTCATCTTTACTTACTTACTTTACTTTAATACACGATGTTGTAGGTCTAAGCCTGTTCATCGATCCAGGATTCTTCCATGGTAACTGCGATTTGTGGAGGGAGGAGGTTGTGTAATAACATAAAACAACAGACAACACCTAGACCGGCTCATACAGAAGGCTAGCATTCTTTGACCAGTGACTATCAAGTCTATTCTTAAACGAGTTTACCGACCCAGCTGCCACAACGCTTTCTGGGAGACCGTTCCACAGCTCCACGACTCTATTGCTAAAAAAGTATTTTCTGATATCTAGTCTTGAATATTTCTTTTCCAGTTTTCCAGAGTGACCTCGAGTTCTATCTTCTGTACTCAACTTAAAGGGAATCTCTTGCACATTGTACAAGCCATTCAAGTACTTGTACACATCGATCATGTCCCCCCTTCTACGCCGGTGAACAAGAGTTTGTAATTTGAGTTTGGTCTTGGTCTTCCCCACACAATCCCACATATCATTTTCAGCACAAAAACTGGGGCTTATGATGGCTTTTTTTTATGATTGGCTGCTCAACCATTCAACTGTAAATTGTTTCTAGCGACGGCTCATCGTGTAGCCAAAGTAAGCGTGTAATGCACAACGCTGGTTGCAGGGCCCGCTGCACTTCTACGCGGAAAGTGATCAAGGCCTAGGCTAAATGTTAGTTTTTTGGCACGAAATCGACAGATTTAAACAATGTTCATGTCTAAACAACATATGTACCTAGAGATCTACACATTCTCGGTCATATTTCATATCCTCTTCTAATTTTTATTTTCATTTGGTGAAAGCTATTCACCCAGTCTTGCACCAGAGAGAGCTACGTGGACACACCACACACCCATTTATTTTTCACCAGCTTCCCTGCAGAGTGGACTGCTATAAGTACAGTTTTTTCCCCCAAGTTATTCCCATATGGAACAGACTCCCAGCAGTAGCTGTAATATCTAGCTCGATTGCTGGTTTTCAGACCTCCGCAGTCCCGTCCATCATAGCCATGATGGGCATGCCCACCAGGGCCCTGTAGGGAGGGAAGCCATGAAGCCGACATTAATGTTCTCACCAGATGCACCCTACTTCTTCGTACTCTCCAGTTTACACGTCTTCTTCTGCACAATGTCTGGCTTCTTTTACTTGCACGCATCACGCACTCACACACTACCACTGTTACTCCACCCTGGACAGCTGTCAACGTAGCTTTTTGGGTGCAACGAATTCAAGATTCAAGATTACAATTCAATTCAATTCATCGACATCCCAAACACTAAAAATAAATGAATATGTGGGACTGTGATAAACAAAGTGCCACAAAATGACACAGCTTCAGTTCAATATCTACAAAAATCACTACAAATGATACCTGTGAAATAAAAAAATATACATCCCAATAATACCTTTGATACATTAACATCAACAAATGCAATTTTCTTACCCTCTTTCACGCTCTTTAGGTTAGTATTTGACATTTCGTCTTTGAACTTAGCCAATTGAAAACGTTCCAAAGCAACTCAGAGGAAAGTTATGGTATCTTTGAAGTGTAGTAAATATCAACACTCCCGTGCATGTTATGATACTATTTCCCCAAATCTATCATTCGAAGCAGAGACAGTTCGAAAGAGAGAGAGAGAGAGAGAGAGAGAGAAAGGGAGAGAGAGAGAGGGAGAGAGAGAGAGAGAGAGAGAGTGTACGGAGGTGACCCCCCTCTTTCTATCTCTATCTCTCTCTCTCTCTCTCTGTCTCTCTGTCTTTCACTCTCTCTCCCTCCCTCTATCGCAGCCTCCTTCTAAACCATCATACCCTCCATATATAATTACAATTTATATTGTATCAAATATATTTAGCATATCACTAATTTAAATTTGTTAAAGAATTTTGTGTTGGTATTCATTTTGAAAGTTTTATCTTGTGCTTTACAACTATAGGATTGTGTTCAGCTGAATTGGAATTTGGACTTTCGTGTTTGTTCTGAAACCGAGCGGATTGTCAGTATCAAAGCGCTATATACTCAAAACTGTGACGCTCTCATTCATTTTCAAACTTAACTCATTATTTTTTTTCCCGGGGGGGGGGGGTCTCGTTAAATTTCTGTAATTCTTTCCAAGTTCGCGCCGAGTATCTGGATCATTTTGCAATTTCTGTGCGACTCGACAAAATAAATAGATGACCTCAATGTCAGAAGGGGTTCGTCCTCTTCATATTTTTCTTCTTCTTCTTCTTCTCGGCTTCTTTTCCTTCTTCTTTCACTTCTTTTTCTTCTTCTACTACTTTTTTCTCTCCATCTTCTTCCATAACTCTCTTCTTCTTAATTATATATTATTTTTCTACATTATTAATTATTGTTATTGTTGTTGTTGTTTTAATGTAAGTCTTGGTATAGTAGTATAGTAGAAGTAGTAGTATAGTAGAAGTAATAGTAGAAGTAGTAGTAGCTAATATAGTAGTATTAGTAGTAGTAGTAGTAGTAGTAGTATAGTAGTAGTAGTAGTAGTAGTAGTAGTAGTAGTAGTAGTAGTATAAGTAGTAGTAGTAGTAGTAGTAGTAGTAGCAGCAGCAGCAGCAGCAGCAGCAGCAGCAGTAGTAGTAGTAGTAGTAGTAGTAGTAGTAGTAGTAGTAGTTAGCAGTAGTAGTATAGTAGTAGTAGTAGTAGTAGTAGTAGTAGTAGTAGTAGTAGTAGTAGTATAAGTTCGCTATATTCGTAGAGTTACATAGTTACATATAGCTACTATATATTCTTTCTTCTTTTTCTTCTTTATTACATTTCTCTTTGTTTAATTCTCCATTCTTGACCTTTCTTTGTAATTCGATCGATGGGAAGGGGCGGTGTCTCTTTCCCCGGTAGCTATATACACCACTTCATGGTACAAACTCGCAGTATTTTACGACATCACGTATAGGCTACACTACATATGGGTTTTTGAATGCATGTATATTTGTTGTACATGTACTTGACAAAACAAATGGTGACCATTGAGTACTTAACTGGGTGCCATGGAGCGGAAAAATTGAATAGTCTAGTACAGTCTATATTATCAAATCGACGGTCGTCCGAAATAAAATGATGACAAAAATATACATAAACAAATCAGTGAGATACTGAGAAGGTAAAATGTCTATAGCACATGCTCACGTTATGTTTGAAAAGAAAATGGGAGAGAAGAAAAACAAATTGAGCCAACATAATGGTTCAGCATAGGAAAACATAGTAATGGGGAAGGGAGGAGCAGAACGAACGCAAACAAGTTAAATCTAATGCCCAATGCTAAAAAGAGGCGCAGGATATTTCAATTTAAAAACTAGCGAATATGGAAAAAAATAAGCTGACAGAAATTATAACAGAATAATGACATCTATTTGTGATAAATTTTCAGAGTTGGTTTGATTTACAGGCCGAAATGCCTTTGAGAAAATAGAACAGTGCGCGCGGCGGCGTCTAGAAAAGTTAGACTAGAACTCTCCGCTTTGCAAACATATCTATTCATATAGGGAGAGTGTTTATTATCATGCAAATGTGTGTGACCTCCGACGCGTAGCTCACGCCCATTATGTCGCAGTAAAGCGATCGGTGTACGGATATATCATTTGCTCTTTACTATTATATCTCACTCCACGACGGGAGATAGTTCACGAAGCGACTAATCACAGTGTAATAGCAACCAGTATATCATACGTCTCAACGTGTACTACACTCTGGTAAGTGATTTAATAATCATTGTTCTATTATTTCTAGGGAACACATTTCGAACGTTTTTGTTCTCTTCTTATATGAGTGTTACAGGATTTGATGTCCGCATTAGCATTATCTTTCATGATGAAATAATTAAGGCGTTCAGCACCTGGGACATACGTGTTTCTAGGTTACTGCTCGTAACTATATTCGGAAATAGAATTCAGTTTCTTTTGGCACGTACGGGTGTGTCAGGTGTACTATTACGTAATAACTATGTGCTCTTAATTAATCACCTGTAATCTGGGTAATCTTATACGCACATTTTTGACGAATGAAATGATTGCATTGTCATTCAATTTCACTACGTTACTGTAATTATTTACATGACTATAGCTTACATTGTACTCACATGTGTACAAGTATATAGTTTATGTTGTATTGAGTAGAAATGAAGTCAATTGAATTGAAATTGAAGTTGTTCATTTAAAAAATACCCCCACCCCTAAACAAATGACAATTTAACAAAATATATATGCACATGTTTGTTAAAATACATTTATTTAAAGAGCCCAATATACGTTTTGACATACTGTGAGACTCATAGTAATACATAATGTGCAATTTCATCATTTTGTTATTACAAACAAATCATTTCACATGCATTTAGATAAACAACGAATAGATGAATTACATACGATATAAAAATAGTAACATCGACATATTTTCGTTAATGGAATTTACAAAACAGTATAATGTTAAACGAGGATAATCACATCATTATCTATACATAGTTATTTGACATATTATGAACTTGATCATTTACAATTTTACATCGATATTAACAATTTACAATATTTACAGATAAAAATGATACATTTTTAATCAAGATTTGATTTCTCCCGGCTTTGGCTAAATACAAATTTACTGAAATTTTCTATTTCTCCATTAGAATTGTTTCGTTTTTCATTGTTAAGGGATTTTTTAATACTTTAGAGCAAATATGAGAGGAGCTCGCAGCATACATCACAGAGATGCCAATTGTGTTTGATTGTTTAACACTTTACAAAATGCATAACTTTCTTATACTTTTCGGATTCTGCTAAAACTTTCACTGATCCGTTTCTGCTTTTCCTATTTGAATGAACTTGAGATCAGGGAGAAGTTCCCCTTTAAACTTAACTAAGTCCTAAAATCAAATGTTTTTCAATCCATTGGGAAACATTAATGAAGCTGTACTCGTAATTGCACGAACAAACATATTTATGTGGTTTCAATTGCCGATGATTTTATTGTAAGAATTACAGCTAGATATACGAAAGTCAATTTTTAGCGCTCAAGACTATGAACATTCTTTATGATCATCTGTTTCTATTCACAATTACAATCAAGGCTGAATCAGAAAACGACTACATCCATCCAGTAGGTCCACGATCCACCCCCCCCCCCCCTCTCTCTCTCTCTCTCTCTCTCCTCCCCCTCTCTAACTCTCTCTCTCTCTCTATCTCTTTCTCTTTATCTCTCTTCTCTCTCTCTCTCTCTCTCTCTCTCTCTCTCTTTATCTCTCCCTCTCTCTCTTTCTCTCTCTCTCTTTATCTCTCTCTCTCTCTCCATCTATATCTATCCCCTCCTCCCCCTCTTCCCTTTCTCTATCTCTACTCTCATCCATCTCTCATCCATCTCTCATCCATGTTATCATCTCTAGCCATTACGGACGGGGAGGCATTCACTATGAATATGACGGACAAAGAAAGCGGACACAATATACAGTTCCTCAGGTAGACAAAGGAACTGCTATTATGTTAAAATGTGTAAAACAGGTGTCACATGCATATTCACCTGTTCTACACATTTTTATATAATAGCAGTGAAGGGATGTTCCTTTTTCTACCTGAGGAACTGTATATTTTGTCCGCTTTCTTTGTCCGCCATATTCATAGTGATTGGTATAGTAAAGGACTGGCTTGACAAATTATTATTTCTTCCCCATGGCACCTACTTAATTGTCGATTACTGTATACGCAACTGTGGCACTGACAAGAATCTTCTGTAATGATACCCTTATCCCTCGAAGCCATATCCTAATTAGCTGATAGGGTGATGAGGTATCTATAACAAAAAAAAGTCCACCCATTTGCACAAGTTACCATGGCAACTTCAGCCACTGTTTACTAATATCCATGGTGGTTGCAGTACATAATTACATTTCATGATTGTATTTGTGATAACATGTATCATTATGCTGATTATGTGCATAATACTACACCATACATTTCACAAAAAGCTTAATTATTCTGTATACAAGTAGGCCTAATCAAATTGCGCCAGAAAAAGTCCAAATTGATTTTGTCCATGTGTTGCGTAACATCATATCACCCCCCCCCCCCCCCCCCAATGAAGCGCGTCTTAATTAACCTTAATGAACCTCGTGTTTGTCTGCCCGATTGTCAGCAAGCTAATTGAGCCCCTTATATACTTTCATTTCATTTCCCGCTTCGCTCCCTCCGATCACAGATGGCAGATACGATGATATTGGTATAATTGTGATGGAGGTGGAGGAGTGGAGATAACGATGATGATGATGATGGTGGTGGTGGTGGTGGTGGTGGTGATGGTGATGGTGATAATGAACATCTTTTTATTTGTATACATCACATACGTTTAAATTGACAACCGGAGTGTTGGCTCTATACCGGAGTGTTGGCTCATTCAGTAGAGCGTCCGCCTCACAACCGGGAGGTCGTGGGTTCGAACCCCGGCCGCGTAATACCAAAAGACGTTAAAAGATGGGAGTTGTTGCTACCTTGTTTGGCGTTCAACAAAGGATAGAGCAACGTCGATCTGGCGCTGCTCAGTGGCTGCCGGGCTCACGATCAATTGGGCAAAAAGAATTTCCGTTTCGGTTTAATAAAATTTGGAGTGGACTATTAGGCTATTATTATTATTATTAAAAGCATGATCGTGATAACGATTTTTTATAAGGGTCGATGATTATAAATGGCGCTGATGATGATGGTATAATGACGACGGTGATGATGATGATGATGATGATGATGATGATAGTGTTGATGATGATGATGATAGTGTTGATGATGATGATAATGATAGTGTTGATGATCATGAGGATGATAGCGATGATGATGACGATGGTAATGACGATGGCGATGATGATGATGATTGTGGTTATAATATTCATGATGATGATCATAAGTGAGGAGACGAGTACAGTTGAATGATGGTTACCGGTATAGTTGTAGCAACTACAAGAATAAAGATGCCTGTTCGTCATAACGAACATGAAATATCAAATCTAGGTGACATGTTGAAACTTGAAGCAATTAAGTCGAATATGAAATTGATTTTTATATACTGTGTATTATCCCGTTTGATTATGATATCATTCTCATTCTGTCTTATCTCAAATATGCAGATCAAGAGGATATACTTTTCTTCCGTATTGAGTTCCATATCGAGTCTACGATTCCAAGATGGCAGTAAGTATAAGGCTTCACCCTTTTTTGGAGGTGGGGGGGGGGGGGGTAGCGCATGAAATAAGAGCTTTCGAATGGCCAGCCTTTTGCATGACAACATGTGTGCGGTTAATGAGGACATAATAGTTCATCCGTATTCAAGGTTTTCGAAAAGCAATGTATAAACTTCAGCTTGAGAAGATAATATCCCTGATATCACTTCTGCATGAGCGGATCAATATTATATCAGTTATGTAATTATGTAACGACCATTGTTTAATATTTTTCTAAACTGCAACACATTGTTCAGTGCAAATCTATTTGGGGTTTGCAAGAGACTAATAAATGCATTTATCGATCTAACTAATTTTATTGGGAGGGCTTCAGGCCTTCAGGGGGCTTGGGGGTTCTTGCATTAACTCCCCACCCCCTCCCCCTTGTAGAGCGGCTACTGCATCTCTGCAGTGCCAAATGTAGTTACCCCTTTGAAAGAGTAGTCGATATAACTTGCTTGTTATATATTGGATGTGGTGACACTTCCATTAAACAATCTTCAACATTTTGACTAAAAACACAAAAGTAGAGGGCCGGAGTGTCAATTTATTTTTAAATAATTAGGTTACACCATGTACCGGTGTACACGACTGAAGTCATGGTCTCTTCCCTTGGATGCATTTGTAAGAATGGCGCGGAATGAAAGCAGCTATGCAGCACAGGTTATCGTATTTGTATGTGTTACACAACAAATATTGCGTTTATAATGGCTTCAATGCAAGCCTGCAGCTATGCAATCTTCCAAGCTAGTTGGGTGCCGAGGTGAAATATTTTACAGGAATGCGGTTTTATGTGTATCAAAGGAAATATCTTCCGCTTTTACTGAGATCGTGGAGATCGTACTTTCTATAATTCACCAGAACTGTTCAAATCCGGCATCATTGGAAAATGATATTATCATAAAAAGCCACATGTATTAGCGTCATCCGGGTCTGTTGGATTAGTGTCCTCCTGGTTTATTAAATACCATCGAAAACTTGTCCATATTTATAATGCAGTTTGCCCGTTCTTGTGAGATAGTTGTATTAATGAACTGCATGTAGTTTATATGTGTATTGTACTTTTGTAATAGTTGGCCTATATACGCCCTTTGATACAACATTTATAATGTGCAAAACTTACAGTCCCCTCCACCCCCCCCCCCCAAAAAAAAAGTTCCCAAATACGCGTTTTCGTTATATATCGTGATGTATGCGTTATTTATGTCCATGAACTTAGACTAATGACGGTTTCGAGAAACCTGGGCCTGGATTCCACTGTAATTTGAAAAATATTCAAAGAAGTAAACCCCAACGTGAATCGTAAACAAAACTTCTTTTTGAGTGGAACCCACTTCCAACGAATCACCAAACACTGCTTTGGACTGGATTTCGCACATTTACAATCCTGTGCATATGATTGATGTGAATTGTATCACTTCTCGTACACATAAACGGTATAATGCATAAATGCACCCATTGGAAAAGCGCCAATTGGATCAATGTACCAAATCCGAAACGACAGGTAATAGTGTGCAATTTAATGCTAAAGACCCCTGTTGTTGTACTGTGGCGCATGGACGAATCCAAAGAGACTTTCGTCAGTGCTATAAATAGAAATGACGCGAGCATTCCCAGTACTCGGTAAACCCATGGAGGGCCATGGGAAAAATTTAGTCATAAATATATGAAAGTATCTGAAGTATGTATACGTATGTACGCTCTTCATGAACTGTGTGACATTAAAGATTGATCAAAAATAATTGTTATAGAAATAATTTGAAACGTAAATATTTGCATGAATAGGTTGACTTACTTCCAGTTCCAAGCAACAGCATACTTGTATTTGCGTTGGCATATCATGGTCGGTGTTAGCTACTTAAAAAAGGGCTGGCATAGCTCTAGGATTATGATTATGGATTCACGTCATGTTATATTATGATAGTAGTACTCATATAGGACCCCTTTCATCAATTCATTTGATCGTAATTTATGATAATGAAACGACACACATAGTAAAGCAAGCGTTGCTGTTTGGTACTATCATGCAGAATTATCGTCTTAAGTGGTATCCACTTCCAAAGAGTCATTCAGCACTGCTTTGGACTGGATTTCGCTCTAATCTGGAATGGATTCATTACCAATGAAAGAAAATAAAGAAGTAAAGTAGTAGAAATTTAATCTGTAAAAGCCATTTTTATTTCCAACATCATAATTTGTGCATAGAAAAACATATAAAGTCGCATAAGGTATAATAACATGGGATATTTACACACATAATTACAGTATATAATTATCATGACGTATTATCACACAGCTATCAAAAAGTGTTATTATAATAATAATATGGATATTTATATAGCGCCGGTATCCGCCAGGCTCTGACGCTCATGGCGCTGTACATACATGTATTACTATCACAAAAAATATAACTTTCTTAACTAAAATAAAGTAAACTTAAAAAACACAAATTATTACGCTACATTGACATGATTAAATAGCACTGTTTAGAAAGAGATGGGTTTTTAGAGCAACTTTGAAGGCATGAAGGGTAGTTAAATTACGAATACTAAGTAGCAGCTTATTCCAAAGGGACAATACTGATAGGCATGGTGATCCTACGATTTGACATAAACTTGTAGGTATTGACGTGCCTTGAAAATAATTTTGTTCCAATTTTGGAAAACCGTAATCCGCTTTCATCAATAGTGATCTGTCAGTTTAAGACAGGTTCAGTGACCCAATCAGAATTCTATATTCTATATTATTAAGCCATCCGTTTCAGCATTTAATTATCCGCTTTAAATACTAAAATGCAAGTAAAGCAAAAAAACATGTGCATGCCGGAAGCGTTTTGACGGCACTGTGAATCTGTACGTTCCTGACGTCATCAAACTTTTCATTGTTATACTTTTTTCCTTGAATTATGTTTGCAAGTAATTCATAAGAGGAAAACTACTGGTAGAACCCAACAGTATTATTTTCATGAAATATAGAAGAATGATGAAATCATCAAATGTCGCGTAGCTATGTGCAATGGGATACGAGGGCATGAGCCCCTCCCCCAGGGAAACAAAAAATATTTAAAAACAATTTCGAGGTCCATGGGAAAAATTTAGTCTACATGAAAGTTTCAGAAGTATACTCCTCATAAACTATATTTTGAGAAGTAAATACTTCCAACCAACAGAATATGCTTACTTGTATTTGCTTTGGCATAGCTCGGTCGGCACTAGCGTAGTGCGAGAAAATTAAAGGCACACGTCCCCATTAAATTCTTCTTGTAAAAATATAATTTTGAAAAGTAAATAAGGGCTAGAATATAGCATGGCACTGGGGAAAAACTTCTTTTTGAGTGGAACCCACTTCCAACGAATCACCAAACACTGCTTTGGACTGGATTTCGCTCTAACCTGGAATGGATTCATTTCCAAAGGAAATAAACAAAGAAGTAAAAGTAGTAACAAGATTATTTGAAAGCCCTTTTATTTCCACCATCACAATTTATGCATAGAAATACGCATGCATAAAGTCGCATATTTTATGATAACATGGGATATTTACACACATAATTCGAGAATATCATGTAGTATTATTATACAGCTATCAAAAAATGTTATTAAATAATGACTGGCAGACATGGTAGGTAAGCATACGAGTTGACATACATTTTGTTATAGTACTTTAACGTGCTAGTTTCCGGCCATAAAAATAATTTTGATCCCATTTTGGAAAACCGTAATCTGCTTACTAAAATGCAAGTAAAGCAAATATATGTACATGCCTCAAGCGTTTTGACGTCACTATGCATCTGTACGTTCCTGACGTCATCAAACATGTCATTGTTATACTTTTTTCCTTGAATTATGGTTGCAAGTAATTCATAAGAGGAAAACTACTGGTAGAACCCAACAGTATTATTTTGATGAAATATAGAAGAATGGTGAAATCATCAAATGTCGCGTAGCATGAGCATGAGCCCCTTGTCATTGTTATACTTTTTTTCCTTGAATTATGGTTGCAAGTGATTCATAAGAGTAAAACTACTGATAGAACCCAATGATATCTTTTGTTGAGAATATAGAAGAATGATGAAATCATCAAGAGTTAATGTTACGTCTATGATTGTATCTACATTCCGAGGGATACAAGGTACGTGCCCCCCCCCCCCCCCCCCGCCGGAATTCAGGCCAAAAGGGGGACCAGGACAATTAATAACAAGAAAAAGGGTTGAAAAAGGGGAACGTGCATGGAAAGATGACGATCAGACTGATGAAAAAAAAATATTTTGAATAATACAAAATAATAACAATAATAACGTATCTCTATAATCTCTTGCCTTGGACGGAGACTGTAGGCGACCCTAAAGATGATAGAACAGAGAAAGAGAGGGGTCTAGACAGGCATGCTGTATTTTAGGAGAAATAGGCCTTAAGTGTATTAAATAGAGTGACAGAGATAAACCTGTGAGGGCGAAGACAGAAGAGAATGAGAGACAGACAGACAGACACAGAGAGACAACGTGACAGACATACAGAGAGAGATCGAGATTGAGAGAGAGTGAGAGAGACCGACATGCAGACAGACATTCAGAAACAGAGAGATACACATAAACACACATACCTGTACACGCGCACACATACACACACGCACACCTACGTACATACAGATAGTGACAATCAGAGTCTGACAGACAGACATATACAGACAGACAGACAAAGAAAGGAGAGGCAGACAGAAGGTACGCGTACGTGTATAGTATGGTATCAACGACAAGTCAAATATTGATCCATTTCTCCCCGGCCGATCCCTATAACAACAAGAAACGCCAATGACTCAACAGTGACATTATTTCATGTCGTTTAGTATTGTCAAAAGACAAATACACCTGGACATAGATCAGACTAAGAAAATAACCATCATGGACATTTAAATTGATTTATTACTTAGGTAAACCTTGAAGAGAACAGTTTCGGAATGCACGCCACGGTC